TGGGATAACGAAACTTAGGCCTCGTCGTCGCGCGTGATTTATTCACCTGCTGGATGGATACGCAAGGCAACCATCTCCATCCCCACTCCTTCTTAATTATCCTTAATTAACGAGGCTTCACCGTCGTCCCCTTGTTGTGTAACTTTCTTCAATGCGGGGGGGAGTTCGTAACGCAACCACCATTGACTTTGTGAGGGTCTTCTCTCCGCTGCTGGATGAAGGGGAGCCAGCGAGGCGCGCAGTCGTCAACAACGTCAACACTTTCACGCGAGCCGGCGTCGTCGTTGACTTTCGCGCTCAAATGTTAATCATAGTTGAGTGGGGGGGGGGGGCGTATTAAACAATGTGTGTGTCGTTAAACCGGCCACCACCCGACACGGCTGGGTTTGTGTCGCGTAAACACAACCATGGGCGCCAATTTGTTACGAGGATAGAGCACCACCACCACCACACCACCAGCACCACCACTAGCACCACTAGCACACCACCCCACACAGCAGCACCACCACCACCAGCAGCACCAGCAGCACCACCACTAGCACCACTAGCACCACCACTAGCACCACTAGCACCACCACCACCACTAGCACCACCACTAGCACCACTAGCACCACCACTACACCACTACACCACTAGCACCACTAGCACCACCACCACACCAGCACCACCACCACACTAGCACCACCACTAGCACCAGGACCACCACACCAGCACCACACTACACACCACCACCACACAGCACCACCATCACTCTACCAGCACCACCACCAGCACCACCACCACACACCACCACTCCACCAGAACCACACCACCAGCAAGCACCACTACACCATCACACCACCACCACCCACCACCACCACACCACCAGCACCACCACCAGCACCAGGACCACCACCACACCACCACCACCAGCACCACCACACCCCACCACACCACCACACACCAGCACCACCACCACCACCACCACCACACCAGCCAGCACCACCACCCCACCACCACCCCACACCCCACCACCACACCCACCCCACCCACTACCCCACCACCACACCGGGCTTTGTTGTTGTGTGTTGGAGGGTTAAAGCCGCCACCGCAGCGTTGACGATTCGAGTAGCCGCGTGACGTTCCGTTCGCACTTTATCCGTCGCTTTAAGACGAGGATGATGAGGAGGAAGACGATGCTGATGATGATGGTTGTCACGTTCCTCTCTTCATTCCGAGCTGAACGATGTCAAATGCCCGCTGGCAGGTCACGGGGCAGACCCAGGTGCCACGGGTCGACTGACTGAGATGAGTAGCTGATGCACCATCTGTGCCCCCTACTGTGCCAACTTGCTGTGCTTTAGCCACCCGGCGCTCCGCTCGTTGTTGTGAGCATCGCTCCTCCGCCCTCCGTTGTTGTTGGAGGGCGACTGCCTCCAACTGCCCAGCAGCGTCCTTCGCGAGCCTCCTCCACTGAGGCCGATCCCGAAACACACACAGACACTTGCGCCAGGCCACATCATCGTCATGATGCCCAATTATACGTCAGTACATTCTTGATTTGAAGCTTTCGTGACTGTAGGAATTACTCTTTGGTTCTTTCGGTAAAGTCACGTATAAAGAAAAAATGAACGAAATATAGATCACGACGTTAGTTCGTTGTTGCCGCGATTTTGCATTCAGGTGGCAAGCGGAGTTGGAATCATCGCTGCGATGATCTGAATCGTCGCGTGATGTCATTTATGGACGGCCCCTAAGCGAGAATCGCCGATACGGCATAGGAACACCTTGGGACCGACCTGCCTACCTGATCGTTAATCTCGACGGAGAGAGAGCGAGCGTGAAAGCTGTCATTTTTCGATTTAAAGCTTTCGTGACTGCAGGGATTCATCTTCTTGGTTCTTTCGGTAAAGTCACGTAGAAGGGAAGTAATAAAATATATTTATTGTATTATTTTATTATGTTTTATTTGTATTCTTTTATTACTTCCCTTCTACGTGACTTTACCGAAAGAACCAAGAAGAAAAAAGCTGTCATTGGCAACTGCTAATCAAATCGAAAGTATGCAACGCAGAAGTTTAAAAGTGTCGCGGATTCTTTTTAAGTGTTGGTTTTAGTGTTTTGTACGCAACCAATAATGTTAGGTAAAACTATAACACGTTTTCTTAATTTTACTAGGTATGGCCCACAGACCTTTTTATCACAAACGATAGCTCAACGAAGTGGGCTTATTATCATCTTCATCATCCTGTGGTAGGTTATAGCAGCGGCCAAGTAACTCTAAACGCGTGACGTCGATTCTAAATGTGGAGGGGAAAAAAACGGAGGACCCGGTAGAAAAATCCACGCGACCACGGGGGGAGAGAGAGAGACGCAAACCCCAAACATACAACAGGCATCGTCAGGGTCGGGATCGAACCCACGACCTCCTGTATACCAGGCAAGGGAGTTAACATCTCCTAGCCACCGTGATGATGATGAGAGAGAGAGAACACGCAAACTACCACATATACAGCAGGCGTCAGGGTCGGTATCGAACCCACGACCTGTACACCAGGCGAGGGAGTTAACATCTCCTAGCCACCATGGCGCCCGGCTCGGTTACCGGAGCCACGTTAGAGCAGCAGAGGGCAGTTGCGACAACATTCGTTGTTGTTACGCGATTCCATGCTCCCAAATGTACATGCTCCCCCGATTTGATCCCCAGTTTGGTCAAACAACCGCTGGAGGCAGTGGATTAAGAGAAAGGGGACCCCGCTCTGTGCGGGTGCTAATAACGCGAGGGGGGCTGACCGCCCTGATTTGGCGGCACAATTTGTTCGGACAGATCCCGTTGTGATCCTTAAGCACGTAGGTAAAAAAAAGTCACGTAGGTAAAAAAAATTAATTAAAATTAAAAACAAGTATAACCCGTAAAAACAAGTTTTTCACTATAAATCCTTTACATGCGTGGCGGCTAGAGTCCATCTCGTCCTCTGGCTTGAGATGGCTGCCACCTATGGGTCAGATGATTGCATGGCAGCATTAAGCAATTGGTAATTAAATATAATATTTTTGTCCTAAAAAGTGTAAATTTTGGAAAAAAATTTCACGAACATTAATTGTCACGCACAACGAGTCTGTGTGGAAAATGTCAGCTCGATTGGATCACGGGAAGTGATTAAAAAACGACCGAAAGATTTGCACTGTCCTAAGCAAGCAAAGCAAGTGAACTTATATAAAGGATTAAAAACAATAAAATCACGACGTTTCGGAGGCAACACAAGCTTCCGTCTTCAGGTGAAGCTTGTGTTGCCTCCGAAACGTCGTGATTTTATTGTTTGTATTAATTTAATTCATTTTTTTTTACCTACGTGACTTTACCGAAAGAACTAAGAGGGTGAATCCTTGCAGTCACGAAAGCTTCAAATCTAGAATCCTTAAGCACGTTCCTCAAGCGTCAAAGCAAAACACGAAATAAACCAAGGGGGCGAATTTGACGGCCTCAAGGTTTTTGCACCCTTAGCCTGGCGCAAACGCTGTAGGGTGACATCCACCGCCACTTAAGGATCATGATCGGAATCTGTATTATTTATACCAGAGGAATCCGATGAGCTTTCAAGCTCTTGATTTTCACAGATGACCAGGAGGGGCACGGGGTAAGAACGTCACGACAACAGACAGTACAAAAACATGATAGGAGTGCAGAGTACAAGAAAAACAAATCACTCAAAACACATCCAAATACAACAAATAAACCATCCCCCTCCTACCAGGCAAAGCCCACCGACCCTGCCCACAAATGATAGCTCAAAGTGGCCCATCATTTGGGCATCTATATCAGCCAAAATAATCTAAATAATCTTAGTGGCGGATGGCAGCTACTGATGCCGTTGTGTGTGTGTGCGCGTGTTACCCTGTGTCTTTGCGTCCTCAACTATTCTGCCCGCCACGTGCACGCGCGTGTGTGCGCGTGTGTCCGCGTGTGTGCGCGTGTGTGTCCGCGTGCGTGTGTGTGCGTGTGTCCGCGTGTGTGCGCGTGTGTGTCCGCGTGTGTGTGCGCGTGTGTCCGCGTGCGTGTGTGTGCTGCGTGTGTTCCGCGTGCGTGCGTCTGCGCAGGTCCGAGTTCCGCGAGGCGGCCCGCTGGAAGGCGCACGACGCGTTCGTGTCGTGCGTGTGCGCGCTGCCGCCCTCCGCCGACTTCCTCCCCGCGGGCCTCGTGGCGACGGGAGGCCACGACGGGCACGTGTGCGTCTTCGCGGCCGACGCCCTCGGCCCCGCGTCGGTTCCGCTCTACCGGCTTGAGGGCCACGGCTCCACCGTGTGCTGCCTGGCGACGGGGCGGCGACGGCGGACGAACGGCGGGGGCGGCGGCGCCGTGCCGGCGTTGGCGGGCGTGCTCGTGAGCGGGTCGTGGGACGCGACGGCGCGGGTGTGGCTCCGGGACAAGTGCGTGACCACGCTGCAGGTCTGTCTTGAGCGTGTCCGCCTTTGTGCGCCGCCTCGCAGTGCGCATTGCCTGCACGGGCGCCGTGGTTGACGTCACCCGCCAGCTTGGTGGCGAATGGCGGGTTGTTGTTTGTTGTTGTTGCTGTGTGTGTAGTGTGGTGTGTGCCGCAGTTGCTGCCGTGTGCTTGTGTGTCTTTGCGTGCAGTGGCAATGTTTTGCGTGTGTGTGTAGTGGCATCTATGTGTGTGTGTTTGGGTTGTGGGGAGGCGGTAGTGCCGCGGTTAGCGCGCTGCGCTACGAACCCGGCGACCCGGGTTCGATTCCTGCTCACAGCCAACATCCAGTGACGATTATCTGAACCGGTCTTGGGCCTCCCCTCGGTAGACTCAGCCTGAATTGAGTGGCTGGTGCAATGTGTAAACATCACCACTGGGGAGACAAAAGCAGCCGGGCGTGGTGCTGGCCACCCCACCCCTCGAGTGCCGTGCCGGCCTTCATAGGTGCTCGCTAACAGCGATTGCTCCTACAGTCTGGTAAGGCTACACGGGAGATCTTGTCTCGTTTGTTTGGGTCTTCGTGTGCGTGTGTGAGTCTCTGTGTCTGTGTGATTCTGTGCTTGATGCTGTGTCTTAGCATCGGTGTGCTTTGTGTGCATGTTTAAACGATGCCGTGTCTTGTGTAGTGGTTAGCGCGCTGCGCTACGAACCCGGAAATCGGGTTCAATTCCCGCTAATGGCCACTAACCACGACGATTATCTGAACTGGTCCTGGTGCCACGAGCACTTTGTGCGGGCATGTTGACACCGCCACTAGGCTGGCCAGCATGGCACTGGCCACCCACCCACCCCCCCTCGTGTGCCGTGCAGCTCCGCTAATAGCACTTGCCCCAACAGTCCGTTAAGGCTATACGCGGGGCGTGGTCTTTGTCTTTGCACACCTGCATGTGCGCGCGTGTGCGTCCAGGGGCACGGCGCGTCGGTCTGGGCAGTGAGCGTGCTGCACAAGCAGGGCGCCATTCTCACCGGCTCGGCCGACAAATCCATCAAGATGTGGAAGGCAGGCCGCTGTGAGGTCACCTACACGGGTAAGGCCGGAGGCTTGCGGCCGTCGATCCGTGACACATCCATCCGCTACATTCCATCTGTCGCAGTCCATACGTTGCAATCCATCCGTCGCAATCCATCCGTCGCAATCCATCCGTCGCAATCCATCCGTCGCAATCCATACGTCGCAATCCATACGTCGCATCCATACGTCCATCCATACTCACAATCCATACGTCGCAATCCATACGTCGCAATCATACGTCGCAATCCATCCGTCGCATCCATCAGTTACAATCCATCAGTGACAGTCCATCCGCCACAATTTATCTGTCACAATCCGTCCATTAAAATCCATCCGTTAAAGTCCATACGTTACAGTCCATATATTACAATCCATCCGTTACAATCCAACCATTGTAATCCATCTTTTACAATACATTTATTGCAATACAACCATTATTATTCATACATTGCAAGCCAAACATAAAACTTGAAGCTAGTCATCCATTTGAAAAAACCACCGATTACAATCCATCTAACAACGATCAGGATAACAACAACCCGGCCACGTGAGTTCGATTCCTGGCCGCGATTTACACCGTTAACGCGGGTAATATCCGAACCGGTCCTGGGCCTCCCCTAGGTCGACTCGGCCGCGAATGAGTACCTGGTGCGGTGCGTAGTAAAACATCGCCACCGGGGAGACAAAGGTGGTGTGGGCCACAACCCCCACCCCCTCGTGTGTGCCACAGTGCCGGCCTTCACAGCCGCCGCTGCTGCTGCTGCTACTCGCCAAGTGCAACTCGCCCCAACGGTCTGTGAGAGGGGCTACGCGATTGGAAGCTTTTGTCTGCGTCGTTCACAGTGGATCTTGTTGCTGGGTGTAGATCGCGTGAATATGAACGTGTCTCGATGTAAAGCTTTCGTGACTGCAGGGATTCATCTTCTTGGTTCTTTCGGTAAAGTCGGTAAAGTCACGTGACTTTACCGAAAGAACCAAGAATATGAACGTGTCGTTAAACGCGCCACCACCACCTGACACGGCCAACGAGTGAGGGAGTTTTGTGTCGCGTGAATAAAGCGTGGCCAATCCGTTACTCGTACAGCACACACACCGGTTGCGTGCTGGAGGGTCAAAGCCACCGCAACATTTACGGTTCCCGGCGCGACGTTTCGCCGGCAGTCGCAGCCGGCGTTTGCGCTTGACGCGATCTCACCCGTTGGCGGCGAGAAGCCTCCTCCCGCTTACGCGCTTAGTAGACCGCCCTCTGTCGTCGTCGCCGCCCGCGTTGTGTCTCGCCAAAAACTCAAGGCCACGAGGATTGCGTGAGGGGCCTCGTGGTTCTGGGCGGCGGCGAGGAGTTCCTGTCGTGCAGCAACGACAGCAGCGTGCGGCGCTGGGCGCTGGCGGGGCCCTGCCTCTCGACGCTCTACGCTCACACCAACTACGTCTACTCCATCTGCCTGCTGCCCAACACCTCCGGTGGGTGGGGGACACGCGGTGGGGGGACACGGGGGGGTGGGGGGGGGGGACACGGGGGGGTGGGGGGGGGACACGGGGGGAGATGTGCACGGGCAGACAAGGATGGAGACATGCACGGGGGGAGACGGGGGGCAGGTGCACGGGGGGAGACGGGGGGGGGGAGGTACACGTGGGGAGAGATACGCAGGGGGGGGGCGGGGGTGGTGGTGAGACACGCACAGGGAGAGACACGGAGGACGGACGGGGAAACACGGGGGAACCACACACGGGCAGACAAGGGCCACGCGGGGAGATACGGGGGTGGGGGGGTCAGATACGCACAGGGGGAGACGGAGGGGGGGGGGAGACACGGGGAGAGACGGTGTGCACGCGTGTATGTGCACGCGTGTATGTGCACGCGTGTATGTGCACGCGTGTATGTGCACGCGTGTATGTGCGTGCAAGGTTCGTGACGGGACGAGAGGACCGCACAGTACACTCGAGCGTGCGTAACCGTGCGTATGTTAACCCGCGTGCATGCGCGTGCGTGCGTGCGTTTGTAACTGCGTGTGCGTTAATCCACGCGTGCGTGTGCGTGCGTGCAGGGTTCGTGACGGGAGGAGAGGACCGCACGGTCCGCGTGTGGCGCGGCGAGGAGTGCGTTCAGACAGTGCGCCTACCGGCCCAGTCCGTGTGGAGCGTTTGCGCTCTGCCCAACGGCGACATCGTGGCCGCCACCAGGCACGTCCACGCACGTCCACGCACGCACATCGGGGGAGTTGAACCGGTGACCTCGAGTATTCACCAGGGCGGCCGTAAGATTCTACTACGATACTATTCGTGCTCTCGGTTCTTTCGGTAAAGTCACGTAGGTAAAAACGTTTACCGAAAGAACTAAGAGTATGAATCCTTGCAGTCACGAAAGCTTAAAATCTAGAATTAATACGATGCTATTTTTTTTATTTGACCAGGTAAGGCCCCACTGAACTTCATAGCTTTTTTTAAATCCTTTATATTACGTTCGCTTGCTTGCTTGCGCGCTTACGACCGTGCAAATCTTTCGGTCGTTTTTTAACCCACTTCCCGTGATCCAATCGAGCTGACATTTTGCACACAGACTCGTTGTGCGTGACAATTTATTTTCGTGAAAAAAAAATGTCAAAAATGTTTCACTTTTTAGGAAAAAAAAAATGTCATATTTAATTTAAAATACCAATGTTATAAAAATGAAACTCTTACTCAAGAAAAACAGAAATGAATAATAAAATAAAACCGATGCCACGCATATAAAGGATTTATAGTGAAAAACTTTGTTTTTACGGGTTAATTTTTTAGAAACGACCCTGACCATCACAAATGATAGCTCAACCAAGTGGCTAATCGTCGTTTGAAATTTAGAGCAGCCAAATAATCTATAAACGTGTTGACGTTGATTCTGAATAACGGAGGGGGAAAACCGGGAGGACCCGGAGAAAAATTCCACGTGACCACAGGGGGAGAGAGCGAGAGACAGACACCGCAAACTCCAAATACACAGCAGCAGGCGTCGTCTGGGTCGGGATCGAACCCACGACGACCTCCTGCGTACCGGGCGAGGTCGTTAACATCTCCGAGCCACCGTGATGATGATGAGAGAGAGAGACACGCAGACGTCAGGGTCGGGATCGAACCCACGACCTCCTGTAGACCAGGCGAGGTAGTTAACATCTCCTAGCCACCGTGATGATGATGACAGAGACACGCAAACTCCAAATATGCAGCAGCAGCAGGCGTCGTCAGGGTCGGGATCGAACCCACGACGACCTCCTGCGTACCGAGCGAGGGAGTTAACATTCCCGAGCCACCGTGGCGCCCGATTTTAAATGGCGAACGCTTCTGCGACGAGCCGCGTCAGCGCCGCGCTGGGCCACCGTCACCGCCCAGGCCGACCCGAGCGCCGTTTCTTCACGTATTGTGTCTTTGCCCGTCGGTTCGCCGGCGCCAACAGCGACGGGCGCGTGCACGTGTTCACGGAGAGCGAGGAGCGAGCGGCGCCAGCCAGCGAGCAGCGCGCGCTCGAGGAGGAGCTGGCGGGCAGCGCCATCGACCCCAAGACCGGCGACCTCGGCGACATCGGCAGCAGCGAGCTGCCCGGGCGCGAGCACCTCGACGAGCCCGGTAAGGAGGGTGGGGGGGGCGGGGAGGGGGGGGCTGAGCCGCCCCCCCCGTGCCCCCCCGCCACCAACCCCCATGTATTTCCTGGGGACAGAGCCAGGAGGGTTTTCCCCTCCACATTTAGAATCGACGTCACGCGTTTAGAGAGTTTCGCCGCTGCAATGAATGTGCGCACGCGGTGATGGTAAGCCGTCACTTCGTTGAGCTATCATTCGTGATGGGCCAGGTCGCTTCTGAAAAAAAGCCGTTATAGATAAGCGGGCTTTACCTGTAAAATTTAAATAGTTTAATTTAAATTTCGATTTAAAGCTTTCGTGACTGCAGGGATTCATCTTCTTGGTTCTTTCGGTAAAGTCACGTAGAAGGGAAACAATAAAATAATGAAAATAAAACATAATAAAATAATTATCACGACAGCGTCTCCCCGACAGACCTGGTCTTCACCTGAGGACGGCTGCTTGCGTTGTGGCCGAAACGTCGTGGGAATTATTTTGTTATGTTTTATTTTTTAGTTTAATGTAGTCTATGGGGTCTGTGTGTATGTCTATGGGTCTCTATGGGTCTTTGCATCTCCCGGGGGTCTGTCGTTCTACAGGCCTCTGTGTGTCTCTGCGGGTGTCCATGCATCTTTAGTTGGCCCGCTGCTAGAAATTTCCACACGATGACGACGATGAGCGATCATTCCCGATGGCTCAGTGGTGCAATAAAAATAGTTGAGTCTCTTGTTGCGTTTGCACCGGTGTGTGCGATCGAGGCACGAGAGACGGGCAGACTCGCCTGATCCGCGAGGAGGGCCGGGTCGAGGCCTACCAGTGGAGCGCGGCGATCGGCGGTGACGGCGGCCGCTGGATCAAGATCGGCGACGTCGTGGGCTCCTCGGGGGCCACGCAGCAGACCTCGGGGAGGGTCATGTACGAGGGCAAGGTGACGCACACACCGCACGCACGCACACACACACACGCACGCACGCACACACGCACACACACACGTACACACGCACGTACACACGCACGCACACAAGCACACAAGCACACACGCACACACGCACACACACGCACACACACACACGCACACACACACGCACACATGCACACCGCACGTACACACGCACACACGCACGCACGCACACCGCACGCACGCACAGAGACAAAGATCCCCACCCCGTGCGTAGCCTTGTAACGGACCGTTGGGGCAAGTGCTGTTGGCGAGTAGCAGCAGCTGTGGAGGCCGGCGCTGTGGCGCACGGGAGGGGTGGGTGGCCAGCAACCAGGCCCCATTGGCGATGTTTACTACACATCGCACCGGGAACTCATTTGAGGCTGAGTCGACCTAGGGGAGGCCCAGGACCGGTTCAGATAATCGTCACTGGGTATTGGCTGTGAGCGGGAATTGAGCTCGGGTCGGTGGGTTCGTAGCGCAGCGTAGCGCTAACCGCTGCGCTACCGCTCCCCACACATACAAAGAAAACAAAGATCCCCCGTGTAGCCTTGACAAACTGTAGGGGCAAGTGCTGTTAGCGAGCACCTATAAAGGCGGGCACGGTACACGAGGGGGTGGGTGGCCAGCACCACGCCCGGCCGCCTTTGTCTCCCCAGTGGCGATGTTTACTACACGTCGCACCGGGTACTCATTTGAGGCTGAGCCGACCTAGGGGAGGCCCAGGACCGGTTCAGATAATCGTCACTGGTGGTGTTGGCCGCGAGCGGGAATCGAACCCGGGTTGCCAGGTTTGTAGCCCAGCGCGCCCACCGCTACGCTACTAAACCCCGCTTACACATACACACACTCGGTCACCCGCTCACTCACTCACTCGCACACTCATCAGCCCATCCAGAGGTCGCAACCGGGTACCCGATACCCGTACCCTACCCGATACCCGGCTACCCGTACCTGGCCGGGTACGGGTAGCCGGGTATCCGTTTGCGACCCTGGTGCGGCCGGGTACGGGTACGGGTAGACCGTGAGTCACTGGTGAGTAACTGTTTGTCACTCATTTCCCAACGTCTTGTCTCTTCTGACAATTCAAGTTCCTAGAATCAACCCACCCGTGCCTGCAACGTGGCTTCATCCCAGAGGTCGCAATCGGGTACCCGATACCCGTACCCGATACCCGGCCGGGTACGGCCGGGTACGGGTATGGAATCAAAACCCGTTTGCGACCTCTGAGCCCATCTCATCTCTCGCCCGTGCCACCCGCACGCTCACCCGCACGCTCACCCGCCCGCTCACCCGCCCGCCCGCCCGCCCTGCTGTCGGACACAACAGGAGTACGACTACGTCTTCTCCGTGGACCTCAACGAGGGCGGGCGGCCGCTGAAGCTGCCGTACAACGTGAGCGAGGACCCGTGGGCGGCGGCCAACGCCTTCCTGGGTCGCCACGACCTGTCGTCCCTCTTCCTCGACCAGGTCGCCAACTTCATCGTGGAGAACACGCGCGGCGCCACGCTGGGCGGCGGCGCCGGCGCCGGACAGGCGGACCCCTTCACCGGTGGGCGCCTGCCCTGACTTGAAAAAAATCAAAATTATTCGGTGACGCTGCCGCACTGAGATGATTGAGATTGTGCTTTGGCTGCTGTAAATCTCCGCGTGGTGAATAAGCCGTTTTTGTTGCACTATCATTGGTGGCCAGGAGAACCTCTTCACCGGCGGGTGCTTGTCCTTACTTTGTTTTGGGTCTTTTTCGCTGCTGCTGCTGCTGCTCCATTACTATCACTGTTAGAATGTCTTCCTCTAAACCCAATACGCGGTGCAACTAAAATAATATGGAAGGGTGCCACGCTGGCGAGATGTTAACTACCTCGCCTGGTGTGCAGGAGGTTGTAAGTTCATTCCCGACCCTGACAACTGCTGTATATTTGGAGTTTGCGGTGTCTATCTCTCTCATCATCATCATCATGGTGGCTATGAGATGTTAACTACCTCGCCTGGTATACAGGAGGTTGTAGATTAATTCCCGACTCTGACACCTGCTGTATTTTTGGAGTTTGTGGTGTCTCTCATCATCATCATCATGGTGGCTATGAGATGTTAACTACCTCGCCTGGTGTGCAGGAGGTTGTAGGTTAATTCCCGACTCTGACACCTGCTGTATATTTGGAGTTTGTGGTGTCTCTCTTTCTCCCCGTGATCGCATGGATTTTTTTACGGGTCCTCCGGTTTTTCCCTCCAAATTTAGAATCAACGTCACGCGTTTAGAGTATTTTGGCTGCTATAAACTTTCACGTGATGATGATGATGATAAGCCACTTCGTTGAGCTGTCATCTGTGGCCAGGTCGCCGTGCCGACTATCATAGGTGCTACTTGCCGACAGCACTTGCTCAAGCGGGTCTGTTAGAGGCTGTCCGGGGGATCTTTGTCTTTTGTGTCGCGTGTGCAGGAGGAGGGCGCTACATTCCAGGTGTTGGCTCCGCCCCCCACGGCACCCCCGGTTCACAAGCCACCGCACCCAACCAACGGGACCCATTCACAGGTAACACGTCACGTTCACGGGCGATGTGACACGATCACGGGTAACGTGACACGATCACGGGTAACATGACACGATCACGGGTAACATGACACGATCACGGGTAACGTGACACGATCACGGGTAACGTGACACACGCGACCCATTCACAGGTAACACGACACGTTCACGGGCGACGCGATACGGTCGTGGGTTCCACGACACGTTAACGGGTGACACGTCACGGTAACGGGTAACGTGACACTTTCACGGTTAACGTGACACTTTGACAGTTAAAGTGACACTTTCACGGGTAACGCGACACACGCGACCCGTTCACAGGTAACACGGCACAGTGAGCCCGCGGTTGACGTGTGAGCAGCGGTCAGCGTGCTGCGCTACTAACCCGGTCACCCGAGTCTCCATTTCCCTGCCCACCGCCACAGACACCAGCGATGGCGATTATCTGAACCGGTCCTGGGTCTTCATTGGCGCCGCTGCTACTCGCCGAACGGCACTTGCCCCATCAGGTGTGAAGGCTACGCGGTGGGGAACCTTTGTCTTTTGCAGGAGGTGGTGCGTACTTGAGCGGTGCCAAGCCGGACGCCGCCGCCGCCGTCTCCAGCGCGTTCTTCCCGCAGACCAAGGTCGTGACCTTTGACCAGGCCAACGCCTCCGCCATTGTGGGTGAGAGTTAGATTCCCAGCCGCGGTCAGCACGCGCGTGTGTGTGTGTAGGTGTGTGTGTAGGTGTGTGTGTAGGTGTGTGTGCGTGTGTGTGTAGGTGTGTGTGCGTGTGTGTGTAGGTGTGTGTGTGTGTGTAGGTGTGTGTGTAGGTGTGTGTGTGTGTGTGTGGGTGTGTAGGTGTGTGTGTAGGTGTGTGGGTGTGTGTGTGCGTGCGTGTGTGTGTAGATGTGTGTGTAGGTGTGTAGGTGTGTGTGTAGGTGTGTAGGTGTGTGTGTGTGCGTGCGTGTGTAGGTGTGTGTGTGTGCGTGCGTGTGTGTGTGTAGGTGTGTGTGTGTGGGGAGCGGTGGTGTGGTAGCGGTTAGCGCTACGCTGCGCTACAAACCCGGCGACCCGGGTTCGATTCCCGCTCACGGCCAACACCACCAGTGACGATTGTCTGAACCGGTCCTGGGCTTCCCCAAGGTCGACTCAGCCTCAAATTAGTACCTGGTGCGGTGTGTAGTAGACATCGCCACCGGGGAGACAAAGGCGGTCGGGCGTGGTGCTGGCCACCCAGCCCTTTATGTAATGTTACGGCCTTCATATAGGCGGTCGCTAACAGCACTTGGCCCAACAGTCTGTTAAGGCTACACGGGGGATCTTTGTCTTTGGAGCGGTGGTGTAGCAGTTAACGCGCTGCGCTACGAACCCGGAGACCCAAGTTCGATTCCCGCTCACGGCCAACACTGGTGACGATTATCTGAACCGGTCCTGGGCCTCCCCTGGTGCGGTGTGTAGTAAACATCGCCACCGGGTAGACAAAGGCGGTCGGGCGTGGTGCTGGCCACCCCCCACCCCCTTTGTGTGCCGTGTCGGCCTTCACAGGCCCTACTCGCTCGCAAGCACTTGTCCCCAACGGTCCGTCAAGGCTACGCGGGGGGGGGATCTTTGTGTTTGTCGACAGCCAAGATCAGCGACCTCAACAAGCAGGTGGCGGAGACTCTGCGTGCGTCCGACGGCGACCTGCAGGCCCTGCAGACCCTGGCCGACTGCGCCACTAGGCCGGAGGCGGGGGAGACGATCACAACGTCTCAGCTCGAAGCCCTGGAGCTCGTGCTGAGCTGGCCAGATGGTACGGCCCAATGATCGTTCGTTCACTCACCGCTCGCCCGCTCAGTCTCTCGCACACACACACACAGGTAGTGGTACAGCCAAACGATCATTCGTTAATTCACTCGCTCGCACAGGGCGTTGTACAGCCAAACGATCATTCATTCACAAAAAAAAATGTGTCAGTTTTGTTGCCGGATAAAATGGTAAAAAAACAATTATCATATTTTTTACTGGCAAATGAGGTACCAATGGTGTCAATGCTTACCCCAAGCTCTCCAACCCATGTGAGACTAGGCTCTAAGGAAAGCTATCTCGGGTGTGGACCAATCAACTTCAAGGACAGTGCATACATTATCAGAGTTATGTTTTTTTGTTGTTTGCATTATGACTGCAGGTATTGTGGTAAATGCAAACATGACTCCTCGTAAAAAAGGTGTCAGTTTTGTTGCCAGATAAAAGGGTAAAAAAACAATTATCAGATCATTCATTCGTTAATTCACTCGCTCACACAGGGCGTTGTACAGCCAAACGCTCATTCATTCACACAGGGAATGGTACAGCCCCAATGGTCATTAACTAATTAAATCGGACAGCTTTGATTAGAACAGATGGCTACATACAGTGCGAAAGAAGTTCAACATAGACTCACACAGCAGAGACCCGTAGACTCACACAGCAGAGACCCGTAGACTCACACGGCAGAGACCCTTAGACTCACACGGCAGAGACCCACAGACTCACACAGCAGAGACCCTTAGACTCACACGGCAGAGACCCACAGACTCACACAGCAGAGACCCATAGACTCACACGGCAGAGACCCGTAGACTCACACAGAGACCCATAGACTTACACGGCAGAGACCCATAGACTCACACTGCAGAGACCCATAGACTCACACTGCAGAGACCTATAGACTCACACTGCAGAGACCCATAGACTCACACAGCAGAGACCCATAGACTCACACGGCAGAGACCCGTAGACTCACACAGCAGAGACCCGTAGACTCACACGGCAGAGACCCTTAGACTCACACGGCAGAGACCCACAGACTCACACAGCAGAGACCCATAGACTCACACGGCAGAGACCCGTAGACTCACACAGAGACCCATAGACTTACACGGCAGAGACCCATAGACTCACACTGCAGAGACCCATAGACTCACACTGCAGAGACCTATAGACTCACACTGCAGAGACCCATAGACTCACACAGCAGAGACCCATAGACTTACACGGCAGAGACCCATAGACTCACACGGCAGAGACCCATAGACTCACACAGAGACCCATAGACTCACACAGCAGAGACCCATAGACTTACACGGCAGAGACCCATAGACTCACATGGCAGAGACCCATAGACTCACACGGCAGAGACCCACAGACTCACACAGAGACCCATAGACTCACACAGCAGAGACCCACAGACTCACACAGCAGAGACCCACAGACTCACACAGCAGAGACTCACAAACTCACACAGAGACCCATATACTCACACAGAGACCCACAGACTCACACACAGACCCACAGACTCACACAGAGACCCACAGACTCACACAGAGACCCACAGACTCACACAGAGACCCATAGACTCACACAGCAGAGACGCACAGACTCACACAGAGACCCATAGACTCACACAGAGACCCACAGACTCACACAAAGACGCACAGACTCGCACAGAGACCCATAGTTTGTTGTCCTTTCCCCTCGCACCTCCGTTTTAGCACGGTCGGCCACGTACGGTGCGAAAGAAGTTCAACGTACATCCAAAAACTACTCAACTATGTTTTTAGGAAGTCAACATCTCCTAGCCATCGTGATGATGATGAGAGAGACACGCAAACTCCATCCTTCCCCCCCCCCGCACCTCCGATTAGCACGGTCGGCCGCCACGTACGGTGCGAAAGAAGTTCATCATACACAACACGTTACATGTGTCCGTGCCCCCCCCCTCCCCCCCCCCCCCGTGTCTCACCCCCCCAGAGTTTCTCTTCCCCGCGCTGGACATCCTGCGCCTCTGCCTGCGCCTCGACGTCCCCAACAAGCACTTCCTGGGCGCCGCCTGCGGCCCGGCGCAGCTCTCCCGCCTCCTGGCGCTCACCTCGGCGCCCGGAGCCGGCGCCGCCGCCCCGATGCTGGCGCTGCGAGCGCTCTGCAACGCCTGCAGCCGCGAGCCCGGCCGTCGGCTCATGCGGGAGCGGCGCTCGCTGGTGGTGGAGGGGGCGCTGGAGCTCGTCGGCTCCGACAACCGCAACGTGCAGGTGCCCGGTCCCGACAGCGCTGGCACCGAATCTTTAGCACTATGGCACCGAGACTGTGGCACACAGATTACGGCTCCAGCATTGAGACTATGGCACTAGCACTGAGCGTACGGCACTGAGGCTATGGCTCAGAATATGGCTCTAGCACTGAGACTATGGCTCTAGCACTGAGCTTATGGCACTGAGGCTATGGCTCAGATTATGGCTCGAGCAGAGATTATGACACTGAGCTTACGGCACTGAGGCTATGGCTCAGATTATGGCTCTAGCAGAGACTATGGCACTGAGCTTATGGCACTGAGGCTATGACTCAGATTATGGCTCTAGCACTGAGACTATGGCTCTAGCACTGAGCTTATGGCACTGAGGCTATGGCACTGAGACTATGGCTCTAGCACTGAGCTTATGGCACTGAGGCTATGGCTTAGATTACGGCTCTAGCACTGAGACTATGGCATTGAGACTATGGCTAGCACTGAGGCTATGGCACTGAGCTTATAGCTCTAGCACGGAGGCTGTAGGCCTAACACTGAGTCTGTGTGTCCTTGTCTCCCCATGCCCCCATTGACCTTCGTCCCCATGTCCCCACGCGTGTCCCTGCGCGCGTCTCCCCGCATGTCCCCTCCCCACATCTCCTCGGCGTGTCCCTCCCCACATCTCCTCCCCGTGTCACCACCCCACTCCGCGCGTCTGCAGGTCGCGCTGGCCACGCTGCTGCTCAACTACGCCGTCCTCCACAACGAGTCGTCCTCCTCCGCGTCGTCCCCAAACGGCGACGACGACGAGGCCATGACCCAACTGCTGTCGGCGGCCGTGGCGCTGCTGGAGCGGCGACCGGACCCCGAGGCGTCGTTCCGGCTGCTCGTGTGCGTCGCCACGCTGGTGCTACGCCGCGGCCGCGCCGGCGACGGCGACGCCGCCCGCAGGCTGAGCGACGCGCTGGGGGTGAGGGCCCACGCCGAGCGGTGCGCCGGCCTGCCGGGGGCGCCGGCAAAGCTCACCGAGTGCGCGCGCTCGCTGCTGGCCTTCCTGTGATGGGCGCGGGTCGCTTAGGGTGGTGGGCGGCGGGGTGGGCGGTCACGTACGGTGCGAAGAAAGCTTAAACGTGTCGGACAAAATGGTTTTGCGAGTCCAGGACGTGGAGGCCACAGAGTGGGGGGATTGTTGAAGAACGGCGGCGGTGGGGGGGGACGGGGCACCCGGTGAGGCACGTGGAGGGTGGGGTACAGTGGGACACCGCGGAAGTTTAGTGAGACGTGGGGTAGTTCAGTGGGACAAGGGGGGGGGGGAGTTCAGTGGGACAAAGGGGGGGGAGACACTGCTTGCGTGTCGTTCAGCGGACACGCGTACAACTTCCTTGACGCCGCAAGTCGCCAAACCGCACTGATCGGAGGAGAGCGCGTGCGGCCACCTTGCGGCCACCTTGCGGGCCCCACGCGAGCGTTGGGATTGGGCGCGTGGGGTGGACGACAACGACGACGCACGACAGGGCGTGCGTGGAGGGGGGGGGGGGCGACACGGAGATTGTGGTGGACTCAGAAGGCCACCAAAGTTTGGGTAACGCCGCGAGTCGCCGCGGGGTTTTATCTTTTAGTCTCCTGGTTAAGTGATGACAACGGGCGCCGTTTGCCACCGAGTGACGTTGGCGCCCCCCGCGGCGCCTGCGCCAGGCTAGGTGCACTTTCAAGGCCGCCACGTGAAGCGTCGAAGGCTCGCTGCCGCTGGGGGCCGGGACGGGCCCAGGTGTTGCCGTGGGGGGTGCTTTGACTGAGATGGCTGGCAACTGCACCAGCTTACCGTGCCAACTTGGTCAAATTTAAAGACAACTGCACACACAAAGATAAAGATCCCCTGTATAGCCTTTCCAGACTGTTGGGGCAAGTACTGTTAGCGAGGGGGTGGGTGGCCAGCACCACGCACGGCCGCCTGTCTCCCCCAGTGGCGATGTTTACTACACGCCGCACCAGGTACTCATTTGAGGCCGAGTCGACCTAGGGGAGGCCCAGGACCGGTTCAGATAATCGTCACTGATGTTGGCCGCAACCGAGAATCGAACTCTGGTAGCTGGTTTTGTAACGCAGCGTAGCGCTAACCGCTGCACCACCACTCCCCCTGCACACACGTGGGGGGGGGGGGGGGGGGGGTGGCACGTGCCCCCCCAATGATCCCATCGAAATCCCTCATTTCGATCGGATCATTGGGGTTTATTAGTAATAAATTGGCATTTTGCGACCCGCACTGCCACTGTGTAGTATATTACTACGTGCCAGGGACTCGATGAGCTGATAGGACAATAGTCTGAGTCCATAATTGGCAACAAGTAACGGCAAAGCAGTTATAAGCGACTCACAGAATTGTGCGCAGTTGCGTCTACAGGGACCTTACTAATGGTAAAGTAAAAAAAATTGTCTTCTTGGTTCTTTCGGTAAAGTCACGTAGAAGGGAAGTAATAAAATAATAAAAATAAAACATAACAAAATAATTCTCACGACGTTTCGGCCACAACGCAAGCAGCCGTCTTCAGGTGGAGAACAGGTCTGTCGACAGAATTATTTCGTTGTTTTATTTTTATTATTTTATTACTTCCCTTCTACGTGACTTTACCGAAAGAACCAAGAAGATGAATCCCTGCCGTCACGAAAGCTTTAAATCGAAAGGACACGACTTCCCTGAAGGCATTCACCTTCAGCGAGCGCGATTCCGATCACACAACGCGGTTCCGATTCGACCCTCGATCGATGGCTGCGTCATCGCCGCACACGCGTCGAATAACAAGCAAGGAACAACTCCTTACTCACTAACAACTCCTTACTTACCAACACGTCCTTACTAACAACTTCTATCATTTTTCATTGCTGGAGGGGTTGCCCCCCCCTCCTCTACCTGAAAATCCTGGCTCCTCCGCCATTGCGTATGATGATGTAAGCGACACGTGTCATTAACTCGCCACCCAACACGGCCAATCGTAGGAGATTTGTCACATCAACGAAACGTACCCCCCAACTGGTTACTCGCTCAGCAGTCACCAGCTGTGTGTTGGGGAGGTGAGCCTGCGACAACCGACTACGCCCTCCTCACTCCCCACGCCAAAGACGAGATGTATAATACTGCCTCACCTTTACACCCTCCGTGCACCTGTACATTGAAATTGCCCCGGTGGGTTTCCCTGTACAATGTATATTGGATTTGTGCGCGAGACTGTGAGCGAGATTGGTTTTAAAGATTTCTCGCCCCCAAAATGGTTGAAAAAAAATAAAATTAATTGAACTTTACGGGGGGTTTTTTGTTTTTTGTTTTAAACTCCACAGCGTGCCGCGAGGTTTTTTTTTTAGTGCGGGACCTTTCCAACGTTGCCTCAGCCGAAGATGATAATCGAGTGACCATTCTCATGTAAGCCATCGTCACGCCAAACTCTCGCAAACACGGCGGGGGGCGCTAACCACGGCCGCACCATAGCACGGCACTTTCAGACACGCCGCTTCTGTGGCCGTCTGGAACGCTCTTTGGATATCAGGAAACCATTAGGACCTGTGCACTTTTAAAATCATCATCTAGTTTGACAAACTAAAACTGCTTTTTGTTTCACTTGCTCCCCCCCCCTGCCCCCCGCATCTCAAGCCGGCGTGAGTAGGTTAAACGTTGAGTTTTATAAGGGCACCACGGGGTGACCAGCCCCTCCCCACCCAGCCCCACCCCTCCCACCGTCCCCACCCAGCCCCTCCCTACCCAGCCCACCCTGCCCCTACCCAGCCCCACCCTCCCCACCCAGCCCCTCCCTGCACGACGGACACAATAATCCCCTGTGGGCTGGTGTAACCAGGAGGTTCCTACCAGTAACAGTTTAGCTTAGAGGTTAGCGAGTCGAGAAGTGAGCGAGTGGTGAAATCAGAGGCCATCTTTATTTGACGGCACACACACAAATCACGAACCCCGTCCATGCTACAAAGAGCAGAATTGTTCAAGGAAAGCGATCGGTCCGTTTTTTAACAGGCACATTAACCAGGTTTGTGGTGCAATGGGCTTGATCAATACGGTTAAGTCTGAAACTTTTGAACAATTCGATGAACCTGTCAAAATAATTCATTGAGGAAGCCGCTGGGAGCTACGCGCTTTTAAAATCGATCTCGATTTAAAAAAAAAACTCATTTAGTTTGAACTGCCTTGTTTGTTGTCAAGCCCCCCCCCCCCACCGCACCTCCAATTTAGCACTGTTGGCTACGTACGGTGCAAAAGAAGTTCAACCGTACACACTCACCCAGAGAGCCATACTCGCCCAGAGAGCCACAGACTCGCCCAGAGAGCCATAGACTCGCCCAGAGAGCCATAGACTCGCCCAGAGAGCCATAGACTCGCGCAGAGAGCCATAGACTCGCCCAGAGAGCCATAGACTCGCCCAGAGAGCCATAGACTCGCGCAGAGAGCCACAGACTCGCGCAGAGAGCCACAGACTCGCGCAGAGAGTCACAGACTCGCCCAGAGAGTCATAGACTCCCGCAGAGAGCCATAGACTCGCGCAGAGAGCCATAGACTCGCGCAGAGAGCCATAGACTCGCCCAGAGAGTCATAGACTCGCCCAGAGAGCCACAGACTCGCGCAGAGAGCCACAGACTCGCCCAGAGTCACAGACTCGCCCAGAGAGCCATAGACTCGCGCAGAGAGCCATAGACTCGCCCAGAGATCCATAGACTCGCGCAGAGAGTCATAGACTCGCCCAGAGAGCCATAGACTCGCGCAGAGAGTCATAGACTCGCCCAGAGAGCCATAGAATCGCGCAGAGAGTCATAGACTCGTGCAGAGAGCCATAGACTCGCCCAGAGAGCCATAGACTCGTGCAGGGAGCCATAGACTCGCGCAGAGAGCCATAGACTCGCGCAGAGAGCCATAGACTCGTGCAGAGAGACAGTTTGTTGCCCTTCCCCGACACCTCCGATGACGACGGTTGGCTACGTACGGTACGAAAGACGTTCAACGTACACACACAGATTTCAAGTATTTTTCCTTTGGAATGATTGCGGCAAGAGTAGTGCCCGGTGCGGCCAAGTGGCTGGAGGGGTGGAATTAAAAAAACGCATTCCATGAACGGCGCACGAAATCGCGTTCAGCAAGTTCTATTCTTCTTCGTAAGCGGCTGGACTACGACGGCTGCCGCTGTTGTTGACGGTCCCAGCGCCGCTACGACACAGCAGACCAGGGTCAACCCCTGGCGATGGAGTCCACGGACGTTTAACTTCTCGCGTCATCGTACCCTAGCCAACCGTGCTCGCCGGAGGTGCCGCGGGTGGTTGAGTGGGTGGGACGTCAAACGAAAAAGACGCAAAAAGCAGTTTGGGAAGAAATGAGTTTTCAATCTCGATTTGAAGTCACAGAGCTCCCCAGTTGCTTCCTAATACGGCGGCTCCTTTGACTTGCGAACGAGTTTGGTTCCACAGGTCTGTTCGTAAGTCCAACTTTTACTCCCTGTCGATTCAAAATGGGTTCTACTGCGTGTACACGACACACGGGGGGAATGGCTTTAAGTTGTATAATCTCCTGTAGATGTAGATGCCACTGGTTCATGTTCTGCAGATGTAGATGCCACTGGTTCATGTTCTGCAGATGTAGATGCCACCACCGCCATCAATTGCCCGGCGGTTGAACACGGTCGGAACAGGCAACTGGGACGTACGGACCAGGTTTGTGCGTATCTCAACTAGAGTGTTCGTAAGTGGAGGACAGTCCCTGTATCGGAAGGCTACAGACATGCAGTGTCGGACATAACATTGGGGGGTGGGGGGATGAGGGTGGAGTCCCCTACCCACCTCCCCCCCCCTAGGTCGACTCGGCCCAAAAGATTACCGCGGTGTAGGCAGCGAGGAGAAACATGCGCGGAGCTGGGCCCTGCACAAACGGGCAGCACGTCAACGCTACCACCACCACCACCACCACCGCCCTCCCGTCCCCACTCCGCCACTGACGGGCACGGTGAAGTATGGCCAACACGCCCTTCGCGATCGACGCGTGGCATCGCAAGGCCTGCATCCAGCAGCGGGTTGAGAGCGTTGCATTTTTTTTAGAAACGAGATAACAGCGCTTGCCTTAATGTGCAACGAAACAAAAAACAATCAAATCGAGAGGCTTCGAGTCTTTAACCCTCTCAACACCACGTCCGAGACGTCCGCAAAGTTCGCAGGGTTGTGTCACGTGCGAGCGGGTTTGGCATTAAATTAATATTCAATAGAAGTAGTAGTCGCAGCAGGAGTCGTGCTGTTGTTTTCATAAAGGACGTCGCTACTCACCCGCAGAGAACCGCAGAGAACCGCAGCGGCACGACCGCCGCCACTCTACGATAGCCGCCACTCTACGGTAGCCGCCACTCTACGACAGCCGCCACTCTACGACAGCCGCCACTCTCCGATAGGCGGCTATCGTGCCCCTCCCGCCCGGCACGGCCCTTCCTTGCGTGAGCCTCGGTACTAGCGCTGCCTCCTTCGCGACCCACCGATGAAGTCGATTTAACATTTTGATTTCGTTTATTTTTTTTCGATGACGTTTAACGCGCGGAACATCAGAGCAACGGGAAAGAGCGAAATCTTTTCGGCGGAATCGAGGAATTCATTTGACCCTGAGAACAACGTGCAGTGGGGGGTGGGGGGGGGGAAGCCTGGGAGGGTCCCGGTCATCTTTCGTGCAATGGTGTACAGGCCACGATGTTGCTTCAGTGATTGGGCAGCATGACCGAGGCTTCGGCGCTATCCTGCAGAAAGGGGGCACAGGGCGGTGGGTGGAGAGAACAAGAGACTCAGGAAAAACGTCGCCAAATGGTTTATGGTCCACAAACAACATTTCCAGGAGATTTAAACGAAGCCATTTTTTTATTTTTCGATTTAAAGCTTTCGTGACTGCAGGGATTCATCTTCTTGGTTCTTTCGGTAAGCTCCAAGCTTGGTGGTGTTTCATTCTTCACCTGAGGACGGCTGCTTGCGTTGTGGCCGAAACGTCGTGAGAATTATTTTATTATGTTTTATTTTTATTATTTTATTGCTTCCCTTCTACGTGATGACTTTACCGAAAAAACCAAGACAACAATTTTTTTTACTTTACCATTAGTAAGGTCCCACTGAGCTGGGTAGCTCTTTTTCGGAAGCGACCCTGACCGTCACAACCAAGTGGGCTCTTCATCATCATCATCACGTGGAAATGTACAGGTAGGAACACCAGGGATTATTTGTCTGTCTGTCGTGCATATCCGGAATTCCGCCCACCCATGCACCTCCCCACCGAACACCGAGCTACACCGCGATTGGTTGACGATGTCAGGGAGGGTGGGGGGGGGAAGGGTAAACACGCCCACTCATCCAACTGCCCCTCCCCTGAACGCTGCGCTGTCCAACCAAGTTCCTACGTGCCCACTCCGAAGGAACGTGTTATAGTAGCAGCCAAATACTCTTAAAACGCGCAATGTCGATTCTAAATGTGGCGGGGGAATAAACACCGGAGGACCGGGAGAAAAATCCACGCGACCACGGGGAGAGACACAAACTCCAGATATACAGCAGTAGGCGTCGGGAGGTCGGTATCTAACACAAGATCTCCTGCACACCAGGCGAGGTAGTCAACATCTCGCTAAGGGTACCCGTTTGCGACCCTGGTGCGGCCGGGTACGGGTAGCCGGGTATCGGGTAGGGTACGGGTACGGGTAGGCCGTGAGTCACTTGTGAGTCACCGTTTGTCACTCATTTCCCAACGTCTTGTCTCTTCTCACAATTCAAGTTCCTAGAATCAACCCACCCGCGCCTGCAACATGGCTTCATCCCAGAGGTCGCAATCGGGTACCCGTACCCTATCCGATACCCGGCCGGGTACGGGTAGCCGGGTATCGGGTAGGGTACGGGTAGCTGTTTGCAACCCTGGTGCGGCCGGGTACGGGTACCCGTTTGCGACCCTGGTGCGGCCGGGTACAGGTAAGGAATCAAAACCCGATTGCGACCTCTGGGCCACGTACCTTGAGCTCCTGCAGGGTCCGGCTCCAGTCCTGGGCGGCGATGTAGGGCACCACGTTCACCAGCAGGCTGGTCACCTTCGCCGCGTTCTGCCGGAACGTCGCCATCACCTTCTCCACGCTCACCTGCGGTGCGGGCGGGACGGTCGCGCGCCGACGGCGGTAAAAAGTTTCGGCATCGCCGACGACGCCGGCGTGGTCGCGAGCTGCTGCCGTGTACAGCAGCAGCAGCAGCAGCGACCGAAGCCGTAGTGTTCTCTTCCGAATCGCCGAGGCCTACGTGAAAACTACGTGCGATGAATGCGCCCCGTGGAGGAGGGCCGTTGCTCAGGAACGTCTCCTATAATGTTCCGGTGGCGAGGAGATGTTGACTACCTCGCCTGGTATACAGGAGGTCGTGGGTTCCATCCCGACCCTGACGTCTGCTGTATATTTGGCGTTTGCGTGTCTCTCTCATCATCACGGTGGCTAGGAGATGTTAGCTACCTTGCCTGGTATACAGGAGGTCGTGGGTTCGATCCCGACCCTGATGTCTCTCTCTCATCATCATCACGGTGGCTAGGAGATGTTAACTACCTCGCCTGGTATACAGGAGGTCGTGGATACGATCCCGACCCTGATGTCTGCATGTCTCTCTCTATCATCATCACGGTGGCTAGGAGATGTTAACCACCTCGCCTGGTATACAGGAGGTCGTGGGTACGATCCTGACCCTGACGTCTGCTGCTGTATATTTGGCGTTTGAGTGTCTCTCTCATCATCACAGTGGCTAGATGTTAGCTACCTCGCCTGGTATACAGGAGGTCGTGGGTTCAATCCCTGTACGCCAGTCGAGGTAGTTAACATCTCGCCACAGTTTAGAGTGGGTGGGCGAGTGCGAGTGATTGCGGAGTGCTTCGAGGTGTTGACATTGTGTCTGCCGGCCGAGTCGGCCCTTGGGAAGAAAATCAAAAGAAGAGCTTCTCGGCTCTACATGCTTTACTTGGGCGAAACAAACTTCAGATTCCGTTACCGTTCCATCTCTTTCGTAAGCACCCCCCCCACCCACTCTGACGCTCACAGTCTCTGTCACCACCAGTACCCCCACACCCCCCCACCTCCCCACGCCCCGCCAACCCCCCCCCCCGGTGTCGCCCGCCACCCGTACCGGCTCGTCGCTGTCCCTCCAGCAGTCGTAGTCGGTGACCATGGCGACGGCGGCGTAGGGCAGCGCCAGCTCGCGCGCCAGCACGCACTCGGGCACGCTCGTCATGTTGACGACGTGCGCCCCCCAGGCGCCGAACAGGCGGCTCTCGGCGCGGCTCGAGAAGCGCGGCCCCTCGATGGTGACCACCGTCCCGGCCACGTGCGCCCGCACGCCCAGCTCGCGCGCGCACACCGCCAGGGCCTGCGCCGTGCGTGGTGGGGGGGCGGACAGGGGGGTGCGAATCGCTGCGTCAGTGCCGTGTAGCAGAAGGCAACAACAACACAATGGCGTGTCGCAGCGAGGTTATGTTTTTTAATCTCCTGGTTAAGTGACGACGCCGCGGCGCTCGTGCCAGGCGACGTGCACTTGGAGGCTGTCGCGTGCAAGCGGCGGCGGCGGCGTCACCTGGCGCAGACGCGGGCAGAACGGCTCGGCGATGGGGATGTGGCACACGCCGGGGGGGCCGCCCCCCGCGCCGTCGTAGAAGGTCTGCTCCCGCTTCGTCGTCCTGAGCGGCGGCGAGGATGACAACAAACAACCATGATGACGAGGACAACGAGGATGACAACAATAAACAACAATGATGACAGCGACAACAACCCAACAATCGACGACGAGGATGACAACAACAAACAACAGCAACCAACCGACGACGAGGATGACAACAACAAACAACAACAACCAACGACGACCACCGTCGTCCCCGGGGGCACTCCCGCAGATTTATAAAATTTTAAAAACTCAAAACGGGGGCCAGCCAACCAGCACGAGCGAGCCGGTCACGTGACCAAATCACCTGCCCCCCTCCCCCCAACTGCGTGACCACCACACGCCGCCCCGCCCCCCCCTCTTGCTCCTCCGCAACGCGACGCGCGTCTGCACGTAACGTTGAACTTCTTTCGCACCGCGCGCGTGGCCGACCGTGCAAACAAAAAAATAGTTTTTATCGGAGTTGCAGGGAGCACCGATGAAGAATTCTCTCCGCCCCTCCCGTGCCGGCGTTGTCGCGAGCCGGGCTGCCGGGCCCCGTCGCCGGCAGCCCGGCATCGCCGGCGTAAAATGGGCACCGGCCATCCGCGTACCGGTCGATGAACTGGTCGAGGAAGACGAGGTCGCCGGGCCGGATGTCCTCGCGGAGGGAGCCGCAGGCCGTGGTGGCGAGGAGGTGCGTGGCGCCCGCGGCGCGCAGGGCCCACAGGTTGGCGCGGTAGTTGACGCGCGACGGCGGCAGCGAGTGGCCGCGCCCGTGGCGGCCGAGGAGCAGGCACGGCACGGGTCCCATGCGGCCCGAGATGATCGCATCGGACGGCTGAGAAGAGAGGGGCCGGACCAGGGCGTGGGGAGAGACATTGCAGTGTGTGTAGATTCATTACTAGTACAGCACTCCGGCGGTGTGTTGAAGAGTAAACCCACTACATTTACAATTGGGGCGCATCAACATTTGAACGGTTAGTCGCAACCATGGGGTTCCTACGGGAGGCGCTAAACGTTTACGATGTCACCGTTAACCGAGGGACTATTGCATAGCTCAAGTGGGCCTTACCTGGTCAAATAAATAAAAAAGTTAAACCGTTAATGTCTCCCCGTTGTTTGTTGCCATTGTTGTAGCGCCCGTACCTTCCCATAGGGAGTGTCCACGTGGATCTCCTGCCGGTCCTCCAGAATGTCGGGGTCATCCAGACCCGTGCCCCCGATGATCCCAATCTGTCCGGGGGGAGGGGGTGGTGGCGGCAAGGGAACGGGGGGGGGGGGGGAGAGACAGGGGTCAGAGTTACAAGATGAACCCATTTCCCGTTCCGAGACGTCCTGAAAGTTCCAGTGGCGGGGGGTGGGGGTCCCTGTTCACCGCCGAATCTCGGTATCGAGCGAGCGGGTTCGGCGTTAAATGTTGATTCGGAGAGAGACGGAGGGGTAGCAGCCCGTTGTCGTTACGAAGACGCCGTTACTCAGCCGTAGAGAAGCGCCAAAACCTGTGCCAGGCGCGCCCCTCCCCTCCGCGCGGCATTGCGGGAGCCTCGGTAAGTCTCATCTTGTTTCTAAGTTTTTCTTCCGATTCCGTTGCGATGACGTACGGACACGTCATCGCAAGCCCTTTCCCGTGCATAATATTGACAACAGGTTTTTTTGGGTTTAGATTGCGATGACGCGATGGTCAAAAAGGGTTCAAGTTGATCTCCTGTTTAAAACCAGGCTCAGGACGTGAGAGAGCGAGAGAGAAGAGGAGGAGGTTTAACACGCGGCAGGCTTTCGCGACCAACATCATCCCGAGTAGAGGTACTGCGGGTGAGATCGCGTAAATATACATTCTTGACTTAAAGCTTTCGCGACTGTAGGAATTCATATTCTTGGGTCTTTCGGTAAAGTCACGTGGACAGGTTCAAAGATGACGTGACTTTATCAAAAGACCCAAGAAATAAAAACACAACGTTGTGTCGTTAAACCCGCCGCCGCCACCACCCGACACAGTCAATCAGCAAGAGGGGGGGGGGGGGGGGCGGGGCTTTGAGTCACGTGCACAAAACGCGGCCAATTCGTTACCGGTAACAGCGCTCACCGGGTGAGTGTTGGAAAGCGAAACCCACAACGACATCGACCACGGCGGGGAGGTGAGTCTCGTTCGCGAGAGCGACCCGGGGTCGCGGGAGACGCGACGCGGGCCAAATAAGAATGCCGCGGAAACGAAACCGAAGTACTGCGAGTCGTCACGTGACCCACGCACCACCTCCCGTCCAGCGGCACGCATGTGAAAACATCGTGCGAGACTTGTTTTTTCCCACGCCCTCCAAGGTTATATATATATGTGTATGTTTTACAATGTATGTTTCAAATCAGAATATTTATTTCTCCTGGGAGGAATCTGACGAGCTAAAATCAACCCGTAAAAACAAAGTTTTTCACTATAAATCCTTTATATGCGTGGCATCGGTTTTATTTTATTATTCATTTCTGTTTTTCTTGAGTAAGAGTTTCATTTTTATCACATTGGTATTTTAAATTAAATATGAAAATTTTTTTTTCCTAAAAAGTGGAAAATTTTGGAAAAAAATTTTCACGAAAATTAATTGTCAGGCACAACGAGTCTGTGTGCAAAATGTCAGCTCGATTGGATCACGGGAAGTGGGTTAAAAAACGACCGAAAGATTTGCACGGTCGTAAGCGCGCAAGCAAGCAAGCAAGCGAACTTAATATAAAGGATTTAATAAAATCACTTCTTCCCTCCCCCCCCCCAACAACGCCCAGTTCAGTTTCGCAGATGTAAATCGATCGATTCCCCCAAATAAAATCGGGAATACAGATTCCCACGATTTGCAAATGGGGTGAGACCTAACCTGGGTGGAGGGGGGGGCTAGGAGATGTTAACTACCTCTCGCCTGGTGAGCTACGGAATTCCAAAAAAAAATGTCTCTTGTTATTTTGGTTTCAAGAAGCCCTCTGGCCGAGATCAATGCTCATTTGTAAATCGTACAGGACTCGTGTGCGAGCCCTGGGGCCCACACTGCGTGTTCTAATGGTCATGTCAGAAGGCACCGGGTCTACACATCACTAAACTATTTCAATTTTGTTTATTTGACCAGGTAAGGCCGCACCGAACTGCTACGTAGCTGATAATTGGTTTTTTACCCTTCTATCTGGAAACAAAACTGACACCTTTTTACAAGGAGTCATGTTTGCATAGACCACAATACCTGCAGTCATAATACAAACAAAAAACATAACTCTGATAATGTATGCATAACTCTGATAATGTATGCAGGACAGTGCATACATTATCAGAGTTATGTTTTTTTGTTTGCATTATGACTGCAGGTATTGTGGTCTATGCAAACATGACTCCTTGTAAAAAAGGTGTCAGTTTTGTTGCCAGATAGAAGGGTAAAAAACAATGATCATATTTTTTTACTGGCAAATGAGGTTCCAATGGTGGTACGTAGCTCTTCGTCAGAAGCGACCCTGACCATCGCAAATGAGATCTCGACGAAGTGGCTTCATCATCACCGTGTGGAAATATACAGCAGCAGCCAACATACTCTAAACACACACACGTTTCTCAAATGTGGAGCAGAAATCCAGAGAAGCCGGAGAAAAATCCACACAACCACAGGGAGAAAGCGAGAGAGCCATTCAAACTCCAAATATACAGCAGCAGGCGTCAGGGTTGGGATCGAAGCCACGACCTCCTGTAGACCAGGCGAGGTAGTTAACATCTCCTAGCCACCGTGATGATGATGAGAGACACGCAAACTCAAAATATACAGCAGCTATCAGTCAGGCATCGAACCCACGCCCTCCTGTATACCAGGCGAGGTAGTTAACATCTCCTAGTCACCGTGATGATGATGAGACACATATACAGCAGGCGTCAGGGTTGGGATCGAACCCACGACCTCCTGTATACCAGGCGAGGTAGTTAACATCTCCTTGCCAAAATCAACTCTTGGATGGTTTCAAGCGCTGGGGAGGCTACGTTGTCTGGAGGCTCAGAATGGCCATGTCAGAGACAACTTCTTAACCCGGCAACCTCTGAGAACGAGGGTTCAACCCCCCCCCCCCAATATTCAAATATGCTCAAAATGTCCCCCCCAATATATTGCTATAAACAATCTTAAAAAATAAATATTGTCTATACTATATAAATAAAAACAAATTGCTAAACCTTGGCCACAATATCTGGACTCGTCTTCATACAACAATGCATAGATTTCCGTTGATACGATTGTGGTTATGGTTGTACTTTATAAATCCCTAATCTCTGCCATTACATACAATGAAACAAGGTAAAAAAAAGTAAAACAGAGCAATGCAATACAATACACTATTAGACATTGTCAAAATAGATAAAAAGTCCATCCCACGCCACGTGTCAGTGATTTTTTTTTATATTTTAGGCAGGAAATGAGTTAAAAAATTTAGATTTTTTTTCTGGTGGGGGTCCCTAGACCCCCTGGGAGATTTGGTCCCCCCCAATGTTCACTCCATGGCGATGGGCTTGCTTTAATCAGACCTCGGGTCGCTCCATCTCTCGCTCCCACTCGATGGGTGCATAACGGCTGCGTTCAGCATCACTGCTACGAGAGGAGACGGAGCGATGAAATACAACAAAAAATAATCATAATAATCCGCGAGAAAGAGCTTGGAAGCTCATCGGATTTCTCCAGGATTAGAATACGGACTCTGATCGTGGGCTGGGATGTATCGCTATCATCGCAAAGGTCGGCTGCTGGGTTGACCCCTCGTGGGGTCGGCTGCTGGGTTGACCCCTCGTGGGGTTGGCTGCTGGGTTGACCCCTCGTGGGGTTGGCTGCTGGGTTGACCCCTCGTGGGGTTGGCTGCTGGGTTGACCCCTCGTGGGGTTGGCTGCTGGGTTGACCCCTCGTGGGGTTGGCTGCTGGTTGACCCCTCGTGGGGTTAGCTGCTGGGTTGACCCCTCGTGGGGTCGGCTGCTGGGTTGACCCCTCGTGGGGTCGGCTGCTGGGTTGACCCCTCGTGGGGTCGGCTGCTGGGTTGACCCCTCGTGGGGTCGGCTGCTGGGTTGACCCCTCGTGGGGTTGGCTGCTGAGTTGACCCCTCGTGGGGTTAGCTGCTGGTTGACCCCTCGTGGGGTTAGCTGCTGGGTTGACCCCTCGTGGGGTGGGCTGCTGGGTTGACCCCTCGTGGGGTCGGCTGCTGGGTTGACCCCTCGTGGGGTTAGCTGCTGGTTGACCCCTCGTGGGGTGGGCTGCTGGTTGACCCCTCGTGGGGTTAGCTGCTGGTTGACCCCTCGTGGGGTCGGCTGCTGGGTTGACCCCTCGTGGGGTCGGCTGCTGGTTGACCCCTCGTGGGGTTGGCTGCTGGGTTGACCCCTCGTGGGGTTGGGGGTGGTGCCTTCGTGTCCAGCAGTGGATAGAGATCGTGGCTGGATGATGATGACGACGATGATGATGATGACGATGATGAAGATGATGACGACGAAGATGACGACGATGAAGATGATGACGACGATGAAGATGATGATGACGACGATGACGACGAAGATGAAGATGACGACGACGAAGATGACGACGATGAAGATGATGACGATGAAGATGACGACGATGATGAAGACGATGATGAAGATGATGATGACGACGATGATGAAGAGATCGAACGGAGACGCGCTTCAGATTTGGAGAGCGACCCGCGCCGCGTTCCGGCAACGAACACGTGCGTTACTGTACAGAGACAAAGGTCCCCCGTGTAGCCTCTAGCAGACTGTAGGGGCAAGTGCTGTTAGCGAGCAGCACTTATGAAGGAGACAAAGACAAAGATTCCCCGTGTAGCCTCTAGCAGACTGTAGGGGCAAGTGCTGTTAGCGAGCACCTATGAAGGCCGGCACAGCACACGAGGGGGTGGGTGGCCAGCACCACGCCCGGCCGCCTTTGTCTCCCCAGTGGCGATGTTTACACACCGCACCAGGTATTCATTTGAGGCCGAGTCGACCTAGGGGAGGCCCAGGACCGGTTCAGATAATCGTCACTGGTGGTGTTGGTCGTGAGCGGGAATCGTAGCGCTAACCGCTGCACCACCGCTCCCCTTTGGCCACGACACGCAAAGACACTCACAGACACACACAGACAAAGATAAAAGATCCCCCGTATAGCCTTGACAGACTGTAGGGGCAAGTGCTGTTAGCGAGCACCTATGAAGGCCTACACACACACACAAAGACACACACACAAAGACACACACACACACACAAAGACACTCACACACACACAAACACACTCACACACACACAAAGACACACACACAAAGACACACACACACAGACACTCACACACACACAAAGACACACACACACAGACACTCACACACACACACAAAGACACACACACACAAACACAGACACTCACACACACACAAAGACACACACACAAAGACACACACACACAAACACACAAAGACACACACACACAGACACACACACACACAAACACACACACACAGACACACACACACACAAAGACACTCACACACACACACAAAGACACACTCACAAAGACACAACCACACAAAGACACACACAAACACACAAAGACACTCACACAGAAACACACGCCGACACTCACACACGCCCCCAAACACAACAACAACAACAACAGCAACAACAACAACAACCACCATCATCATCACCCATGGTCGATCCACTGCTGGGATGAAGTTTCCGACGCAACCGCCCGTTGCGATGTAACTCACAACAACAACAAACAAACAAACAACAACAAACAACAGTCGAAGGGGCGGCGGGTGACAGTCGCCTTCGTTGACTAATTCAGGTCGCGTCGTCGTCGTCATCGTCGTCGTAGGCGGCAAGAAAGGCGATCAAACACGAGTCGGTTACCTTCACGGCAGCCATAGCGGTTTCGAACACGCGCGCAAACCCCCCCCCGCTCATGTCGAAGGCCGAGATGGTTTCGTCCAAACCGAATAAGCCACGCCCCCAAACCCCCCCCCTTCTGAGTTGACTTCCCCACAGTTGGACTCGCCCAGCCTCGCGCTGTGCTTTATAGATGGGGCAGGGATGTACCACTGTGAACTGTGGGAGGGGGGGGGGGGTTAGGTTGATCCATTACGAATGTTTTTGTACAGGTATGAACGATCTTTCTTGGTTGTTTCGGTAAAGTCACGTAGGAGGGAAGTAATAAAATAATAATAAAACATAATAATAGTTCTCAGAATAAAATAATGAAAATGAAACGTAATAAAATAATTCTCAGAATACTTTTATTATGTTTTATTTTTATTTATTATACCTGTACAAACATTACGAATGGTTGTACAGGTATCAACGATCTTTCTTTGGTTCTTTCGGTAAAGTCACGTAGAAGGGAAGTAATAAAATAATGTAAATAAAACATAATAAAATAATTCTCAGAATTATTTTATTATGTTTTATTTTTTATTATTTTATTACTTCCCTTCTACGCGACTTTACCGAAAGAACCAAGAAGATGAATCCCTGCAGTCACGAAAGCTTTAAATCGAAAGGTATCAACGATGTCGGTGATTGAAAGTTGTTTTTGATAGGCGCATGGTGGAGTAGGAGCGGTGGCGCAACGGTTAGCGGCACTTTCCCGGTGAAATCGAAAAAGAGATTTGGAGCTCATCGGATCCCTCCGCACTGAGTGCTCATTTGAGGCTGAGTCGATTTTCACAACAACAACCGCCATTCGCCACTAAGTGGCGGTGACGTCACCACGACGCTTGTGCCAGGCCATGTGCACCTTGAGGCCACGTGAAGTGTCGAACGCCCGCTGGCAGGAGGTCAGGGGGCAGACCCAGGTGCCACGGGTCGACTGACTGAGATGACCGAGATGACTGGCTGATGCACCACCTGTGCCCCCTACTGTGCCAACTTGCTGTGCTTTAGCCACCCGGCGCTCCGCTCGTTGTTGTGAGCGTCGCTCCTCCGCCCTCCGTTGTCGTTGGAGGGCGACTGCCTCCAACTGCCCAGTAGCGTCCTTCACGAGCCTCCTCCACAGAGGCCGATCTTGACACCGCTGGTACCAGTCATCGGCAAGTCCACTCAGCTCCACGTCCTCCTGTACCACATCACTCCATCTCTTCTCTAGCCCGTGCCGCGCCCGTTTAGCCCCCTCGATCCGGCCGAACAAAAGCTGTTTGGGCATGCGGTGGCTGGGCATGCGGGCTACATGACCCAGCCAACGCAGCCTTGCCTGCCGGAGGAGTTTACCGATGGGACTTTGTCCAGATCTTTCAAGGATTTGTGAGCTCCTCACACAATCCAGCCTGGTCAAACCCATGATGGATCGTAGGCAGGCCAGCCTAAATGTCTCCAACCGGCGAAGATGCTCCACACAGACACACACACAGAGATACACACACAGAGATACACAGAGAGATACACAGAGAGATACACAGAGAGATACACACAGATACAACTCACAGATACACACACACAGATACACACAGATACACACACACAGATACACACACAGAGATACACACACAGAGATACACACGCAGATACACGCACCGATACACACACAGAGATACACACACAGAGATACACACACAGAGATACATAGAGAGATACACACAGATACACACAGATGTCAGCGTTAGAATCAAATTATTTAGACTGGAGGAATCAGCGCGTCGCGCCGGGTTCGGAAACCCGAGTTCGATTCCCGCTCACGGCCACCAACACCACCGGTGACGATGATCTGAACCGGTCCTGGGGCCTTCCCCTAAGTCGACTCAGCCTCAAATGAGTACCTGGTGCGGCGTGGTGTCGTAAACATCGTCACTGGAGAGACAAAGGCGGCCGGGCGTGGTGCTGGCAATCCACCCCCTCGTGTGCCACAGCGCCGGCCTTCGTAGGTGCTGCTCGCTAACAGCACTTGCCCCAACAGTCTGTGAAGGCTACACGGGGGACCTTTGTCTTTGTGGCAGCTGTCTCCTCGTGCGCTGCACTGGAGTGGCTGTGCGCTCCGCGCTACGAGACTTTCGCTCTGTGCGCTACTTTGTTTACTGCCACATTTAAACTCTAAACTTTTGATTTATTTTCCCAGTCAAGGGCGCACTTGAGCCGCTTAGCTCTTCAGAAGCGACCTGGTCATCACCAATGACAGCTCAACGAAGTGGTGGCTTCTTATCATCATCATAATCACGTGGAAATGTAAAGCAGCAGCCAAATAAATCGGAACGCGTGTTTCTAAATGTGTGTGGGGGGGGGGGGAAACCGGAGGACCCGGAGAAAAATCCACGCGACCACGGGGGGAGAGAGAGAGACAAGCAGACTCCAAATATACAGCGGCAGGCGTCAGGATCGGGATGGAACCCACGACCTCCTGTATACCAGGTGAGGTAGTTAACATCTCCTAGCCACCGTGATGATGAGAGAGAGAGAGACACGCAAACTCCAAATATACAGCAGCAGGCGTCAGGTGGGGATGGAACCCACGACCTCCTGTATACCAGGCGAGGTAATTAACATCTCCTGGCCAACGTGATGATGATGAGAGAGACACGCAAACTCCAAATATACAGCAGCAGGCGTCAGGGTCGGGATCGAACCCATGAACCTCCTGTAAACCGGGAGAGGTAGTTAACATCTCCGGGCCAACGTGATGATGATGAGAGAGACACGCAAACTCCAAATATACAGCAGGCATCATGGTCGGGATAGAACCCACGAACTTCCTGCACACCAGGCAAGGTAGTTAACATATCTTAGCCACCGTGATGATGATGAGAGAGAGAGAGAGAGACACGCAAACTCCAAAAAACAGCAAGCGTCAGGGTCGGGATCGAATCCACGACCTCCTGTATACCGGGCGAGGTAGTTAACATCTCCTAGTCCAAATGAAATCTTGGATCGTTTCAAGCGCTGGGGAGGCTCCGTTGTCTGTAGGCTCGTAATTCCCATGCCAGAGACAACTTCTTAAGCCGGCCACCTCTGAGAACACGGGTTCAATCAGAGCTTGGATGCGGGTCTCTCTCTCGATGGGTTCATCATGACCCATGTCAGAGGACACCCTGTGAATATAGTAATAGGTTTTTACCCTTTCAACTTGTACAAAAACTGACACCTTTATACAAGGCATCATGTTTGCAATAACCAAGCAGTCAAAATGCAAACAAAAAGAAACAACTCTGATGATGATAATTATATGCACATCCTGTGAAGTCAGTGGGGCCCTTCAGGTGATACAGCAATCGTGCTGTGACGGTTCCACCTGAAGACGGAAGCTTGTGTTGCCTCCGAAACGTCGTGATTTTTATTTAATTTTTAGTTTACTTTTATTAATTTAAATTTAAATGTTTTACCTACGTGACTTTACCGAAAAAAAAAACTAAGAATATGAATACCTCTTCTTGGTTCTTTCGGTAAAGTCACGTGACTTTACCGAAAGAACCAAGAAGATGAATCCCTGCAGTCACGAAAGCTTTAAATCGAAATATGAATACCCTTCAGGTGTAGTAGCGAAAATCAAACGCCAGGTGGCAGCAGACACACGCGCACGGAATTAAATCACGAATCTCGTTCGGCCCGTCCTTCAGCACCCCGAATCAATAGAGCGGACAAAAGCCATCTTTGCCGAATCGATCTGCCCATCCGCATTATAAAAAAACAACAACATTGTTTTACACATCCCATCAATCACACGGCCCTTCTGAGAGGACGCACGCTCTGGGGCCCCAGCGTGGCGACATCGATCTGAGCACGCCCCGACTCCGCCCTAATATTGCGAGCCAATACTCTTAGTTAAATTTCGATTTAAAGCTTTCGTGACTGCAGGGATTCATCTTCTTGGTTCTTTCGGTAAAGTCACGTAGAAGGGAAGTAATAAAATAATAAAAATAAAACATAATAATATAATTCTCACGACGTTTCGGCCACAACGCAAGCAGCCGTCCTCAGGTGAAGAACAGGTCTGTCGGAAAGACAGCGTCTGAATGAGACCGACCTGTTCTTCACCTGAGGTCGGCTGCTTGCGTTGTGGCCGAAACGTCGTGAGAATTATTTTATTATGTTTTATTTTTATTATTTTATTATTTCCCTTCTACGTGACTTTACCGAAAGAACCAAGAAGAATACTCTTTAGTTCTTTCGGTAAAGTCACGTAGGTAAAAAAATGAAATTAAAATTAATAAAAATAAAATAAAAAAATCACGACGTTTCGGAGGCAACACAAGTCTCCGTCATCAGGTGGGACCGTCACAGCCAGATTTGCTGCATCAAGCGAGGCAGGGATTCAAGATGCAAGCTCTTAACTACGTGACTTTACCAAAAGAACTAAGAGTATGAATCCTTGCAGTCACGAAAACTTCAAATCTAGAATTGCGAGCCAATCTTAAAAAAAAAAATCAAAACATTTCTTTGCTGTGCCTTCATTTCTCCGATTCGGGCTCCACCCCCCCCCCCTCCGTCATAGGAACGTGGAATTTCCAGGGTAACTAATGACGATGACTGCTTTCGCCCAATGCTTGATCCAACCGGGTCAATGCTAAGTCAGCCACCCCCCTGACCGGCATTTGATTCGGGTAATTGAATTGAATTCACGTAATTGCATCACGGCGCCTGTGCAGAATTGGGATCTCAAAGATCCCCCGTGTAGCCTCTAACAGACTGTAGGGGCAAGTGCTGTTAGCGAGCAGCACCTACGAAGGCCGGCACGGCACACGAGGGGGTGGGTGGCCAGCACCACGCCCGACCGCCTTTGTCTCCCCCAGTGGCAATGTTTACTACACACCGCACCAGGTACTCATTTGGGGCTGAGTCGACCTAGGGGAGGCCCAGGACCGGTTCAGATAATCGTCACTGGTGGTGTTGGTCGTGAGCGGGAATTGAACTCGGGTAGCCGGTATCGTAGTGCAGCGCGCTAACCGCTACACCACCGCTCCCCATCAGCCCCAACAAAACTAAGCACCTGCCTGGGTATTTTGTACCATCGGACACTCCACTCCCACAACTCCCAATTGGTGATAGGGCAGTTGTGGAGAGAGTGGAGAGTTTCCCATATCTGGACAGTGTGCTTATGACCGGCTACGGTTTAACAGCAGAGGTCTCACTCCGAATCAGTCGAGCGGCAATATCTTTTCATCGGTTGCGTAACGCTGTGTGGAAGCTACCTGGTCTGTCGCTCCGCACGAAGCTTCGGGTCTTCTCGGCCACGGTCATTCCCTCCCTTCTCTACGCTTGCAAAACGTGGACCCCCCTAATGGAGCATCTTCGCCGGTTGGAAACATTTAGGCTGGCCTGCCTACGATCCATCCTGGGTTGAACCAGGCTGGATTGTGTGAGGAGCTCACAAATCCTTGAAAGATCTGGGCAAAGTCCCATCGGTGAACTCCTCCGGCAGGCAAGGCTGCGTTGGCAGGGTCATGTAGCCCGCATGCCCAGCCACCGCATGCCTAAACAGCTTTTGTTCGGCCGGATCGAGGGGGCTAAACGGGCGCGGCACGGGCTAGAGAAGAGATGGAGTGATGTGGTACAGGAGGACGTGGAGCTGAGTGGACTTGCCGATGACTGGTACCAGCCGTGTCAAGATCGGCCTCTGTGAAGGAGGCGCGTGAAGGACGCTACTTGGCAGTTGGAGGCAGTCGCCCTCCAACAACAACGGAGGGCGGAGGAGCGACGCTCACAACAACGAGCGGAGCGCCGGGTGGCTAAAGCACAGAAAGTTGGTACAGTAGGGAGCACAGGTGGTGCATCAGCCAGTCATCTCGGTCATCTCGGTCAGTCGACCCGTGGCACCTGGGTCTGCCCCGTGACCTCCTGCCAGCGGGCGTTCGACACTTCACGTGACCTCAAGGTGCACATGGCCTGGCACAAGCGCCGTGGTGACGTCACCGCCACTTAGTGGCGAATGGCGGTTGTTGTTGTTGCGTGTGTTAGTGTGTGTGCGTGTTAGTGTGTGTGTGTTAGTGTGTGTGTGCGTATTAGTGGGGAGGGGCTGGGAGGGGTGGGGCTGGGTGGGGAGGGGCTGGGGTGGGGAGGGGGTGGGGAGGGGCTGGGTGGGGAGGGGTGGGGTGGGGCTTAGTGGGGAGGGTGGGGGTGGGGCTGGGTGGGGAGGGTGGGGTGGGGCTGGGTGGGGAGGGGCTGGTCACCCCGTGGTGCCCTTATAAAACTCAACTGTTGTCACCTTCTCACCAAGCTGCTTGGCGATGGTCTTGTAGCCCATTCCAGCCTTGTGTAGGTCTACAATCTTGTCCCTGACATCCTTGGAGAGCTCTTTGGTCTTGGCCATGGTGGAGAGTTTGGAATCTGATTGATTGCTTCTGTGAACAGGTGTCTTTTATAGAGGTAACAAGCTGAGATTAGGAGCACTCCCTTTAAGAGTGTGTTCCTAATCTCAGCTCGTTACCTGTATAAAAGACACCTGGGAGCCAGAAATCTTTCTGATTGAGAGGGGGTCAAATACTTATTTCCCTCATTAAAATGCAATTCAATTTATAACATTTTTGACATGCATTTTTCCGGATGTTTTTGTTGGTATTCTGTCTCTCACTGTTCAAATAAACCTACCATTAAAATTATAGACGGATCATTTCTTTGTCAGTGGGCAAACGTACAAAATCAGCAGGGGATCAAATACTTTTTTCCCTCACTGTAGGCAGCTACTACATACTTATCTTCACATGTAGCTACTTGTGCTACTACGAGAATCCCTCACTGAGGCCCCCGTGTTCTGCCATGACCCAGTTTACACGGCCCAAACCGTCGCAGGGGCGGTGGGGGGGGGGGTGCCCCGCTCCCCAAAGTTCGGGGCCCGGGGCTGTCGTCTCGATTGTTTCGTAGCCCACCCAGGAGCAACAACGGCTCTGCCCCCTCCATCCATCAAGCTCCAACCGCGTCGCTTTCAAACCCGGTGAGGACTCGGGTCGCCGGGTTCCGTAGCGCGCTAACCGCTGCACTACCGTTCCCCACACGCCACACACGCCGTCACACGCACACACACACCGTCACACGCACACACACACCGTCACACGCGCACATATATAAAATGTGTGCGGTGCATTAAACACAGCGGGAAACATTGTTTATATTGATTTATTTATTACAGTGTTTCGCGTAGGCAAACGCAAAATTACAATGATGTCGTTTTACGCTGCGAGGATGCGCGCACGCACAAAGGGGGGAGGAGGGGGGGGGGCACACACGCACACACGACGGGGAGATACAGATACAGGGGGGGGGGGCCACGGTTCATGTTGAAAAACAATAATAATAATGTCATCATCACCCACCACGCCCCAGCTCCCATCTCGTCAACCTGCCTCGCCTTCCCCTCCAACTCAAATCTCGAGCCCGATGTTGGCTTATCCCTCCCTGCTCCCACGTCACCACTGTACATCTGAGCCGGTCCCGCCTGGGCCTCCCCCTAGGTCGACTCGGCCTTAAAAATAATAATAATAGCACGTGTACCCGGTGCGGCGGTGTGTGGCAAACACGTCGGCAAACCGGGGAAGGCAAAGGCGGACCGAGGCGTGGGGCTGACCCACCCCGCCCAACTGTTTCGTAGGAATGTTGTGCCGCCTTTGCGACGAAAATACAAGATCCCCCGTGTAGCCTTAACAGACTGTCGGGGCAAGTGCTGTTAGCGAGTAGCAGCACCTATGAAGGCCGGCACTGTGGCACACGAGGGGGTGGGTGGCCAGCATCACGCCCGGCCGCCTTTGTCTAACCTCTAGTGGCGATTGTGTCCTACACCCCCGCACCAGGTACTCTTTGAGGCTGAGTCGACCTAGGGGAGGACCCGGTTCAGATAATCGTCACTGGGTGTTGGCCGTGAGCGGGCATCGAACCCGGGTCACAGCCGGGTTCGGAGCGCAGCGTAGCGCTAACCGCGCACCACCGCTCACCACCACTACCACCAGCAGCTTTGCGGCCGTCTGGAACGCTCTTTTCCTTCCGATATTCGGAAGCCAACCGTGGGAGCTACGGACTTTGACTTCATCTCACATCGACAAACTAATATCTTTAAGAACTGCTTCTTGGTTGGTTTAGTTTTGTTGTCCTTCCCTCGCACCTCCTGGCTAGGTACGGCGCAAAAGAAGTTCAACACACATGCGCACACAACAGCAAATGATTCCTTATGGCGGTACCCCGCGGTAACCAAATAATAGAAACTGGCCGAGGCAATTAAAGATTTTATTTCTGGGACAATATTTTTTTCCAGGGGTGTGTTACTTAACTCCGCGACTGGGGTACCCAATCAATCCCACATCACTATGAGATCTCTTTTAGCAGTGGCAAATATAGCAGTAGGTTTTTACCCGTTTAAACTGGTACAAAACTGACACCTTTATACAAGGCATCATGTTGGCAATAACCACAACACAAGTAGTCAAAATGCAAACAAAAAGAAGCAACTCTGATAATGATAATAATATGCAACTTTCATTATCAGAGTTGGTTCTTTTTGTTTGCTTTTTTGACTACTTGTGTTGTGGTCATTGCAAACATGATGCCTTGAATAAAGGTGTCAGTTTTGTACCAGTTTAAAAGGGTAAAAACCTACTACTGTACTATAATCCGACATCAGTGCCAC